GAGACGTACCCCAGGTACACTAAGTCGGCCGGCCCTAGAGGAACTTAACACCAAACATTAGTAGGTGAGTGAGACGTACCCCAGGTACACTAAGTCGGCCGGCCCTAGAGGAACTTAACACCAAACATTAGTAGGTGAGTGAGACGTACCCCAGGTACACTAAGTCGGCCGGCCCTAGAGGAACTTAACACCAAACATTAGTAGGTGAGTGAGACGTACCCCAGGTACACTAAGTCGGCCGGCCCTAGAGGAACTTAACACCAAACATTAGTAGGTGAGTGAGACGTACCCCAGGTACACTAAGTCGGCCGGCCCTAGAGGAACTTAACACCAAACATTAGTAGGTGAGCGAGACGTACCCCAGATAAAGGGACACACAGTGCACTGTAAACCTCCAGTCGCCTCCATTGTACTGGTTACAGGCTAGGAACTGTGAAATAAGATAAACATTATCGACATTACACCATAGCACCCACTTACTCTGATACTCCACGTCGGCGTCCAGGTTGGCCGTGGACACAGCTTGTTGGATTTCTTCTCTTTCCAGTATCACATCTTCTTCTCCATTGTTATTCTAGAGTAAAGACATAAATATCAAACACAAATCATCCACTTTAGATAGATTATCTCTCAAATAAGGCATGTATATCAGAATGTGTGTTGTAAGAGATAAATATCAAACACAAATCATCGACTGTAGATAGATTATTTCTCAATCAAGGCATGTATATCAGGATGTGTGTTGTAAGAGATAAATATCAAACACAAATCAGCGACTGTAGATAGATTATCTCTCAATCTAGACATGTATATCAGAATGTGTGTTGTAAGAGATAAATATCAAACACAAATCATCCACTGTAGATAGATTATCTCTCAATCTAGACATGTATATCAGATGCGTGTTGTAAGAGATAAATATCAAACACAAATAATCAACTGTAGATAGATTATCTCTCAATCAAGGCATGTATATCAGAATGTGTGTTGATTTTACCAATTGTGTTCTAAAAATACCTGTAAGATTTAAAATTAAATTTATATCAACATTGCCGCGGCATTGACAGCTGATTGAAGTTTGGTCGACTGGGATTGTTCAACAGTGAATAAGTAAACACTGTTGTGTTTGTCTGTATTCATGGAGAGTATAGTTCACATTAATAATGTCCCCTTGGTATTTCATTTTGGACTATCTATGATAACCACATAAAAAGCCAAATGAAGTCCCCTGTCAATAAACCAGCTGCTATACAATATTTCAATCAAGAAGCCTTTCTTCTTTATCAATGATTGAATGATAAGAAGACAACCTTTTTTCTTTTAATTTCAAAATTAAACTGACCAGAAACAACATGTTTCTGATAGCTTATAATTTTTTTATTTCAATGCAGCTCATAAACAGACTTATCTGCCCTTCATCAACAGACCTATCTGTCCCTCATCAACAGACTTATCTGTCCCTCATCAACAGACTTATCTGTCCTTCATCAACAGACTTATCTGTCCCTCATCAACAGACTTATCTGTCCATCATCAACAGAATTATCTTATCTGTCCATCATCAACAGACTTACCTGTCCCTATCTGTCCCTCATCAACAGACTTATCTGTCTCTATCTGTCCCTCATCAACAGAATTATCTGTCCCTATCTGTCCCTCATCACCAGAATTATCTTATCTGTCCCTCATCAACAGACTTATCTGTCTCTATCTGTCCCTCATCAACAGAATTATCTGTCCCTATCTGTCCCTCATCACCAGAATTATCTTATCTGTCCCTCATCAACAGACTCATCTGTCCCTCATCAACAGACTTATCTGCCCTTCATCAACAGACTTATCTGTCCCTCATCAACAGACTTATAATTATCTGTCCATCATCAACAGAATTATCTTATCTGTCCCTCATCAACAGACTTATCTGTCCCTCACCAACAAATTTTTATCTGTCTCTTATAAACAGATTTATCTGTCCCTCATCAACAAATTTTTATCTGTCCCTCAACAACAGATTTATCTGTCCCTCATCAACCGACTTATCTGTCCCTCACCAACAAATTTTTATCTGTCCCTCGTAAACAGTCTTATCTGTCCCTCATCATCAGACTTATCTGTCCCTATCTATCCCTCATCAACAGACTTATGATTATCTGTCCATCATCAAAAGAATTATCTTATCTGTCCCCCATCAACAGACTTATCTGTCCCTATCTATCCCTCATCAACAGACTTAACTGTCCCTCATCAACAAATTTTTATCTGCCCCTCATAAACAGACTTATCTGTCCCTCACCAACAAATTTTTATCTGTCCCTCAACAACAGATAAATCTCTCCCCCATCAACAAACATATATGTCCCTCATCAACAGACTCATCTGTCCCTCATCAACAGACTTATCTGTCCCTCATCAACAGATTAATCTCTCCCTCATCAACAAACATATATGTCCCTCATCAACAGACTTATCTGTCCCTATCTGTCCCTCATCAACACACTTATCTGTCCCTATCTGTCCCTCATCAACAGACTTATCTGTCCCTCATCAACAGACTTATCTGGCCCTCATCAACAGACTTATCTGTCCCTCATCAACAGATTTATCTGCCCTTCATCAACAGACTTATCTGTCCCTCATCAACAGATTTATCTGCCCTTCATCAACAGACTTATCTGTCCCTCATCAACAGACTTATCTGGCCCTCATCAACAGACTTATCTGTCCCTCATCAACAGAATTATCTGTCCCTATCTGTCCCTCATCAAGAGACTTATCTGTCCCTCATCAACACACTTATCTGTCCCTATCTGTCCCTCATCAACACACTTATCTGCCCTTCATACCTGCTTATTTTCGAAAGACTCCTTGAGCCGTTCCTCGTAGTAAGCTATGTTATCATCCTGGACCCCCTTCAGACCGAGGTACTGTGATTTTAAGGCCTGAAGCAACAGTTTGGGATCCATCTTTATCAGTGCGTCATTCAGACGGTCTAAGGCTTGTATGGCTGAAACAAACACATCTCTCTTACATCAATGAAATACATATTTATGCTTAAATCTTATCAGAGCAACTGATTGGACTGAATATATAATTAATTTGCCTATGAAAAGCATTGTTCTGTTTTGCATTGTTCTGTTTACAAGTTATGTGCAATAACCTTAAATACATAAACAGATAGCAATTACCTATCTACAATAAACAGATAGTAATAACCTATCTACAATAAACAGATAGTAATTACCTATCTACAATAAACAGATAGTAATTACCTATCTTCAATAAACAGATAGTAATTACAGATAGTAATTAGCTATCTACAATCCCTTTTAGCAGGAACTAGACTAAACTAACAGCTGGAACACAGTTTAACTGTTCCTAGTGAACTGATAGTTGTGATCATGTGATTCTGACTTTGTGATTTGATTGGATGAGCCACACTATGTGACAACTTACTGTTGACTTTATTGATGTTGCCCTGGATCTCGGCCTGAGTCAGTAGTTCGTCATAAACATCATGTTCATAGGTGCCGTCTGGGTCCAGACTCTGCAGGAACAAAATGTTTCCAGGTGAAGCTTATCAGTTATGTCACAAAACTTTTTCCATTGCTTATATACAAAATTATTTTTCTTCAAATGACTCTTATATATACAAATATCACTAGAAACTCATAGCTATGGGACAGTGAAACAAACCTATCACCAGAAACCCATAGCTATAGGACAGTGAAACAAACATATCACCAGAAACCCATAGCTATGGGACAGTCATAGTGACCTGGGATATTTCTACCTTCCTTTCAAACTTCTAAAAGAATGCTTTTTAAGTCTAGGAGCCAATTAAGGTAGCAGAGTACAGTAGAGGGTTGTGGCCATGGGTGATATTTTTGTTAAATGGCTAACCCCTGTATAATGATATGTAAAAAAAATATAAAAATAAAACTGTACTAAAATTGGTATAAGCATGATGAAGTGGGCTATGTGAGCTTCACATTTGTAAAAAAGAAAGAAGATTTCTTTGGTTCGAGAATAAAATTTTGGCCATAATACGAAAGGGTGCGTACACATGAAAAGCTAGCTTTACAGGAGGTAAAATTTTGACAACAGCACACGACGCAAAATTGCAAAAAATCAAGTTCTACAATTTTACTGCGACCCAGATAATTCTGCAACCAGGTAGGTAATCTTTAATTTCAGACAGAGCTTAGGAAAAAAATTACTACTTGCGGGGGTCAAATTTTGGGTTAAAAATAGCATTTTTTGGCATTTTTTGGTAATTTTTGATGTGGTAACCATGGTTTTCACACAAGTGACATACATAGAAAAAAGAGGTTTATACACTTCTCAGTGCTTTATATGTATTGTAAATGTAATGCAGTTTACAAATATATATACATGTATACATGTGTTGTGTAGGGTAAAACCGCTGTGTTTACATTTCCTCGACATGTGCCTTGTTTATCAGAGTCGGGCCATTTCTACTGTATTCTGCTACCATATACACATAGAACTTGATTTTTTCTGAAAAAATCCCTTTTTATGCTTGATTCAGCTTCACTTTCATTCATTAATACTTAAAACTACTCAAAAACGCCAAAAAACCCGTTACATAGATAGGTCTATATATAGGTCATTAGCCTGTTACCTGTGGATGTATAAAGAGAGGTAACTCGCGCTTTCACAGGCACTTGTGAAATTCTGCAATTCATCACATATGTGTCAATTATGTTATTGGTAAAGTTGATACCAAACATCAAATAGTTCACAGGCTATCTCCTGATGCATTCATACTAGATTTCAGTCTGTTTCACTCAGTTCAGCACCCGGTAGCCATGGTTACTAATACATAAAGTTGTATTTATTGAAAATGGGTAAAAATGGGTAAAATATCTGTTTTCATTTTAATTACACTATTTTAGATGTTTTTTTCCACTTGATTCAGCATACAGATGAAATAAGCAAAGTCAGTAATGTCAATAAATTTTATTTCCATAATTACAGCTGAAGAAAATCTTTTTTTTCTAGCGAAATATGTTAAATGAACAATTTCTGAGGGTCACTGTCAATTCTAGGCGAGGAAAGTAAATAACGGTTGCTATGGTGGCACTTGTCTGATTTCTCAGAATATCTTACATTTCTGTGCTGTTCATCGGTTACGGGAAGTGTGTCTGTTGCTAGTTTGTTGTTGAGATGGGTTTCCTAGTGTTCAATATTTTGATATCAGTGATCCTCGATGATGTCATAGATGCCCATTGATGACGTCATAGTTATGATGACATCACAGTTACTATGACGTCATCAAACAAGACAGTAACATCATAGTATCACTGTACTGTTTGTTTTCTACATGCACATGATCTCAAGGCATCATATTTCACCCAAAAAGAAATTTTATTCATGAAAACTACAAACCTATTCAAGTTTTCATTTTTCAGATTACCTCCCTTTGTTGGTAGTTTGAGAGCAGAATTGGTAAATACACTTTTCAGGAGAATTCATATTACTCGGTCACTATTAAAGTGAGAAAGGAAACGGATACATCATTGTGTTCATTGTCGCATTTTCCAGACATTTAAAAGGTTTTGATTAAATTTTGGGGAAAAAAAAGTGATGTATAAGGTAGCAGAGTACAGTAGAGGGTTGTGGCCATGGGTGATATTTTTGTTAAATGGCTAACCCCTGTATAATGATATGTAAAAAAAATATAAAAATAAAACTGTACTAAAATTGGTATAAGCATGATGAAGTGGGCTATGTGAGCTTCACATTTGTAAAAAAGAAAGAAGATTTCTTTGGTTCGAGAATAAAATTTTGGCCATAATACGAAAGGGTGCGTACACATGAAAAGCTAGCTTTACAGGAGGTAAAATTTTGACAACAGCACACGACGCAAAATTGCAAAAAATCAAGTTCTACAATTTTACTGCGACCCAGATAATTCTGCAACCAGGTAGGTAATCTTTAATTTCAGACAGAGCTTAGGAAAAAAATTACTACTTGCGGGGGTCAAATTTTGGGTTAAAAATAGCATTTTTTGGCATTTTTTGGTAATTTTTGATGTGGTAACCATGGTTTTCACACAAGTGACATACATAGAAAAAAGAGGTTTATACACTTCTCAGTGCTTTATATGTATTGTAAATGTAATGCAGTTTACAAATATATATACATGTATACATGTGTTGTGTAGGGTAAAACCGCTGTGTTTACATTTCCTCGACATGTGCCTTGTTTATCAGAGTCGGGCCATTTCTACTGTATTCTGCTACCTAAGATAATAAACCAAATTACTTCTTTACCAGATTTTCCAACAAAAAATAAAAATTCTTTCAAAGATTTTTGTGATAAACTTTCATAATTTACTGATAATAACTTGAGCAACACCTAATACACCAATGAAGGATACGAAGTTTCAAAATGTCACTATTTTAGTAAAAATCTAGAGTTGGGAACCAGTCAGAAAAGATGTGTTTGCCCACAAACTCCGAGTCAAACAGGAATGCAAATTACCCCAATATTTCAGCTAAACAGAAGCCATGAACTGGTATCAGCTACCTAAAGTGATCTAGCACTGCTTGTCTGAAGTCATCCCTTCTCTAGTGATCTAACACTGCCTGTCTGAAGTCATCCCTTCTCTAGTGATCTAACACTGCTTGTCTGAAGTCATCCCTTCTCTAGTGATCCAACACTACCTGACTGAAGTCATTCCTTCTCTAGTGATCTTACACTGCCTGTCTGAAGTCATCCCTTCTCTAGTGACCTAACACTGCCTGTCTGAAGTCATCCCTTCTCTAGTGATCCAACACTACCTGTCTGAAGTCATCCCTTCTCTAGTGATCTAACACTGCCTGTCTGAAGTCATCCCTTCTCTAGTGATCTAACACCGCCTGTCTGAAGTCATCCCTTCTCTAGTGATCTAACACCGTCTGTCTGAAGTCATCCCTTCTCTAGTGAGCTAACACTGCCTGTCTGAAGTCATCCCTTCTCTAGTGATCTAACACTGCTTGTCTGAAGTCATCCCTTCTCTAGTGATCTAGCACTGCCTGTCTGAAGTCATGCCTTCTCTAGTGATCTAACACTGCCTGTCTGAAGTCATCCCTTCTCTAGTGATCTAGCAATGCCTGTCTGATTTCTCAGGAGGCAAAATTACTATATAATTTTCTAAATTAAAACAAAAAGTTTCTTTTAGAGAAGATGTATAGGAGACTTGAAGAATTCCAAAACTCTCAACCCGTTCTTCTGGCTGGAATAGCATGGCATTAACTGTCAATGAATGGAAAGTGGGACCATTACCACGGCTGACAGCCGACGGCTCTTCAATTCCTCCGAGAGTGGATTGAAATTGAATAAGAGAAATACTGGGGAATGAAAAATTACCACCACACTAAAGACTAGATATTGTCTGAGTAATACCAATAATTTAAAAAGAAAATGAAAATATGAATCATCTTCCGGGATCTCTAAGTATAACAAATCATGGTTTTTTTTAAACACTGAATGAAAATTGAAAACAAAATCACTGAATCTTAATCAAATCTCCCTTTAATGCAGATAAATATGATCTCAAGCTAATTTTTTTTAAAGCTAGCACATTAAATTTTCTTATGATTTTAAAATTAACATTTTTGCTTTATAATACAATAAAATTGCCTCAGTGTTTTTTTCTGAATTGAGAACACTACACATCTTTAATCATATGAAAGCTAACCATTAACAGAGTGATTAGTAATAATATCTTTTGGACCTCTTTGAAATGTCACAATAACCTGCAACAAGAAGCCTAAGGAGACTTAACACTCACAAGGTCAAATCAAAAATGTCTTGGCTAATCAGAAGCCTGGGAGGCCATCTTCGATAGTCAGATTTGGAACCTTAGAAGGGACATTGTACCAAGTCTGAAGTCAATTGCTTTGGCTTTTCTTGAAAAAAAGTACAAAATTTCTAAGCCAATCAAAGACCATGGTGGTCATCTTGGATTTTTCGGATCAGCATAAAAAATAAAAACACTTGGTCAGTTATGGTCAATGCACTTGGCCCCTCCCTGAGGTGTCTCCTCATCCCCTCCCCGAGGTTTTCCTTATGTCAAGATTGGATTCCCTACATGAAACATTACATAAGCTATATATAGCCAGAGAAGAACAAGTTATTGGATGGACGTAGGGACCGACAGACTTCGCTACACTACAAAATCCCACATCAAATCTGACAGCTATTTAGATGAGGGTTTACAAGCCTACCTTATTGTGTGCTATATCTCTCTTGGTCTGTTTGGCACAGAAGAGCAGTTCCTGGTAATCCTCAGACCCCTCTGTCCTCAAGTTCACCAACATGGCAGACGGATTCTCAAGGGCCGCCAATGTTTCTTCAGGTTTCTCGTGATCCACAGCCTCATTAATGGCGATGATGGCGGCATGTACTGGCATGAAAATAGCTCATTACACTTACAAATGGAGCACACTATCCAATGTGTACATTGTATACTGACAACCTGTATAAAATGTATAGCCGAGACATTCCCTAGTACCACCACATACAGTAATCTGACAACCTGTTTCAATTGAACAAAACGTTTATTTCTTTGTGTTTTTGATTTAAGACATTGTGAAGAAGTAGCATTGCTTAAATAAATTTTTCCAGTTTGAAGATGTAAAAGAGAAAACGTCAACATGCGTAAAGCTTTTCAGTTTTACAGTAGAAAGAAGAGTTTCTAGAGTCATACTCACGAGCAGCGTCATCCACGGTGAGCTATAAACAACACAAACAGTCGTATTAATTCTCACCTCAGTGTCTTCTTAATTCTCACCTCAGCCTTAGGCTTTATATTTACAAAATACAACAGTTAATAGAACAGCTTTCTACTTATTGTTTAAAGGGAAGGGTTGAATGGCCCCCTCAACTTATGGTTTTTAATGGCCCCCTCAACTTATGGTTTTTAATGGCCCCCTAACTTATGGTTTTTAATGGCCCCCTAACTTATGGTTTTTAATGGCCCCCTCAACTTATGGTTTTTAATGGGCCCCCTACCTTATGGTTTTTAATGGCCCCCTCAACTTATGGTTTTTAATGGCCCCCTAACTTATGATTTTTAATGGCCCCTAACTTATGGTTTTTAATGGCCCCCTAACCTATGGTTTTTAATGGCCCTTTACTTATCAATGTAAAATTATCCCGTTTTGTTGGAGGCACCATTTTAACATCAATGTAGAACTGGAGAAACGGTGAGATAGCTCACAAAGAGTTACTCTGTCTGCAATGTTTCTGGAACAGAAACTATATTTTTGATGGCCATAACTCCAGGCAAAACAGTCAAATCACAAATTCCTTACTTCATGCATATGTACATTGGATGTACTTTAACTGTGCCAAGTTACAAACAAATTCCAACAAACTGTTAAGGAGGAGTTGCATGTTCAAGGTTTCTTGAGCAGAAAGTTTAAAGGGCCATAACTCCAGGAAAAATCGTGAAAACACCAATTCCCTCCTTATTAGACNGAGGAGTTGCATGTTCAAGGTTTCTTGAGCAGAAAGTTTAAAGGGCGATAACTCCAGGAAAAATTGTGAAAACACCAATTCCCTACTTAATAGACATCTACATACACTATATGTAAAAAAAAAAACAAAAAAAAACATATTGCTTGAAAGGACGATTATGGCCGAATTGTGTTTTTATTTCTGAACAGCATTTTTCCAGGGTGCCATTGTCAATATCACACAGCATAAACATATAATTAACAACAATAATTACCTCGTTAGCTAAGATTCCTCCTATCTTACTGAATGCTGGCATTTGGATTCCATACTTTTCCAATTCAAGTCGCATGGCACTAATTTCTTCCTCTGTAAAATTAATAAAAAGTCACTGTAAAACAACTTAATTGTTGTCCTTAATACGACCTAAATGTCCTTTTCTCATTCATAAATAAGCATGATGAGTTTCATATATTGTATCGCACTTCTATTTCATAGAGGTTGGTATTATGCCATATTCGGGGCATGGAAACAAAAAGGTTACATGCTAACAAATGTGTGCACTTTTCTGAACATACTCAAGGTCAGCTTTGAGTAAAAAAGTCTACAAAGGAAAAGAAAATCTTTCTTCACCCTTATACCCAAACCAAAATCAGAAAACCAGAGGTAGATACAACTTTTTAAAAATAATTTTGTTTCTAACTTAGAGATACTGACTCTACAGGGCTTTATAAACAAGAGGCCCATGGGCCTTAACGGTCACCTGATATATTTATACAGAGAGTTGATTTTGTTTTTAACATGAACAGAAATATTATTCAAAGTGACAAAAAACAATAAAACCACTTTATTCAATATCTAGCATACAGATTTCAGACTAAAAAGTATTTGAAACTAGCACCTCTGATTCTTAGAACAAGGAAAATGAAGAAATTTTAGCACACTGACTCCTTTGAGCCCCACCCTACAGCCCTTGGGGGTAGGGCTGGCTCAAAATTTTCAAAGTATCAAACTGTCAACTCAAGGTTATAATTCCAATCAAGTTATTAACATGTAATATTCAAAGTATCATTTGCCATTATAAACCATAATAAATTTTGCCCCCCCCCCCCCCTCCTTCCCCAGGGGGTAAACGTGAGACCCTAGGGTCATAAACCTTAAGACCCTTCCATCTATGAAGAGTATTTGATTCTACCATATCTGGGTCTTGAGAAGAAGATTTTTGAAATTTCAGTAAATTCGACCCTTTTTGGCCCCACCCATCAGCCCCTGGGGGTCAGTCAGGGCTGATATGTGCTTATTATCAAACTGCTACCTAATACTGATAATGCTAACCCAAATTGAATTACTTCCAATGGAAATTAAACAAATGTTGGTCCAAAATGTGATTTCCCTATATAAACTATAGTAAAGTTTACCCCCTCCCCAGGGGGAAACGTGAGACCCCAGGGTCAAGAAATTCACAATTTCGGTAAAGCACCTTAAGACCCTTCCATCTATGAAGAGTATTTGATTCTACCATATCTGGGTCTTGAGAAGAAGATTTTTGAAATTTCAGTCAATTCAACCCTTTTTGGCCCCACCCATCAGCCCCTGGGGGTCAGTCAGGGCTCATAGGTGCATACTATCAAACTGCTACCTAATACTGATAATGCTAACCCAAATTGAATTACTTCCAATGGAAATTAAACAAATATTGGTCCAAAATGTGATTTCCCTATATAAACTATAGTAAAGTTTACCCCCTCCCCAGGGGGAAACGTGAGACCCCAGGGTCATGAAATTCACCATTATGGTAAAGCACCTTAAGACCCTTCCATCTATGAAGAGCATTTGATTCAACCATATCTGGGTCTTAAGAAGAAGATTTTTGAAATTTCAGTCAATTCAACCCTTTTTGGCCCCACCCTCAGGCCCCTTGGTGCTTGGGACTAAACCAGCCACTATTTTTGTTGACCTTTGTCCATGGAAGGTCCCTGCAAAATTTCATTGAAATTGGTTCAGGGGTTTTGGAGAAGAAGTTGAAAATGTAAATTGTTTACGGACGACATCGGACAAAAGGCGATTGCAATAATAGGTCACTTGAGACTTTGTCTCAGGTGACCTAAAAACAAGAGTACCGCGGGGCGGAACAAAATACGCCCGTCGAATGCCATATAGTGTTATATACTTTCTTACATTGAAATAAGATCTGCATCAATCTAAGAGTGGTTAGCTGATATGCTATAAAAAATGTAGGAGAAAAATTTCAGACAAAAAATCAAATACTGAAATGAACAAAGGGCAATAACTTTTGGAAAAATTGTCAAATCAAAATTCCTTTAAGGGAGACACAACTTCATATCATGATTATCATGTATACAAAGTTTCAAATAGATCAGTCAATAAATGTTGGAGGAGATTGCAGGACAAACAAAGTTTACGCCGGCCAGCCGAACAACGCCATACCATAATACTACCGTCAAATTTGACGGACGTATAAAAATAACGGCAGGCCAGAAATTTAGGGTAGGTCTGACAGGACACACATACTGGATCTATGTTACTCAGGATCAGCCCCAGGACCAAGTGGGATAACATACAGGGTTTACAAGAAATGTCCAAGACTGCTAAGGAGACTGGCAGCTAATCTGTAAAGTATGGAAGAAAGGAACCATATCGGCGTGCTGGAAGAAAGCAGAGGGAATCTTTGCTCCTAAAGGGAAAGACTCCAAGATGGTTGAACAATTTAGGACCATATCGCTGCTGAGTGTCGAAGGAAAGATCTTCTCGATACTTGCCAAGCCCATGACAGCCTTCATGGTGGAAAACAGTTACGTCGACACCTCAAGTCAGAAGGGAGGAATCCCCGGGTTTTCAGGATGCGTAGAACATACAAGCCAACACTTACATGGGCACGGATGCAGTTCAAACCTCGGAAATCACGTTGCATGATTATGAGGAATGGCAGACTCAGCCGACAGTTTGTACTGAAGGTCCAAGAGGAGGAGATACCTTCAATCATTGGCAGCCCCATAAAGTGCCTATGTAAAAGGTTTGATAGCATACTCAGTGACAGCCAGAACCACAAGAACACCCAAAGTCAAGTGTGCCAGTGGATGAAGAAGATCCACAAGTCGGGACTTCCGGGGAAGTACAAAGCATGGATATACCAACATGGCATGCTACCAAGGCTCACATGGCTGCTGCTACTGTATGAAATACCAACCTCAACAGTAGAAGGGTTAGAGAAGATGGTGAATGGGTACCTGCGGAAGTGGCTTGGGGTCCCACCAAGTTTCACATCAGTTGAGCTGTACAGTTGTTCGGCAGAACTACAACTACCATTCAAATCGGTCGTTGAAGAGTTCAAGGTAGCAAAATGCAGGCTGGTGATGACTCTGAGGGACTCCAAAGACGTGAAAATCAGCGAGGCAGGGATACAGACAAGAACAGGGAGAAAGTGGTCAGCAAGCACTGCAGTTGGTGAAGCAGAGAGTATGCTCGAGTTGAAGGATATCATCGGGAATACCTGCGTCGGAAGACAAGGAGTTGGCTTCTCTCATTTCCAGCAGTGGGAGAAAGCAAATACCCAAGAAAGACGGCAAATGGTGCAGAAAGAAATCAGAAGGATAGAGGAGGAAAAGAGGAGAGGGAAATCTGTGGAACTCAGCAAACAGGGAGCTGAGACCAGATGGAATCTCCAAGAGAGGAAGATGACGTTGGCTGAAATATGGAGAATGGAGCCCTTCCGGATATCATTTCTGCTACGATCCGTGTATGACACGCTACCATCTCCTGTTAACCTGCATCAGTGGGGATTGACGGAGGATCCTTGCTACAAGCTATGCAGAGGAAGAGGAACAATGGCTCATATCTTGTCTGGTTGCAAAGAAGCACTACAACAGGGTAGATACCAATGGAGGCACGACAACATCTTGCGGGTCCTAGCAGATACCCTTGAAGTGGAGAGAAGGAAGAAAAGAACTGGTGTAAGAACAAACCAGGCTGGTATCAAGTTTGTGAAACCAGGGGAAAAAGCCACAATGAAGCCTCAAGGCACCTCATCCATCTTGGAACGGGCGCCAACATGGGAGATGAAGGTTGACCTTGACAGGAAGCTTGTGTTTCCAGGAATAGTGGAAACAACACTGAGGCCTGACATGTTAATATGGACAGAGCAATCCAGACACCTCATCGCCATAGAGCTCACCGTACCATGGGAGGAAGGCTGCGAGGAAGCCCACAAGAGGAAGAAAGCCAAGTATGATGAGCTGATGGAAAAGTGCAGGAGCAGAGGATGGACAGTATGGCTCTTTCCAGTGGAGGTTGGCTGTCGAGGTTTCCCCGCACAGTCAGTGTGGAGGACACTACAGTCGATAGGACTCACTGGTTGGGCAAGAGCTACCGCCATCAGACAATTGGGAGAAGCTGCAGAGAGAGCATCATGCTGGCTATGGCACAAACGAGAAGAGCCGATGTGGAAGCCGACATAAACGAGTAGTGGTTTGGCCACCACTACTGACCCACCAGCCGGAGGATGTAGTGATTAAGGGTTGAAACATCTGAAGAGGGCTGGCCATCACCTGATGACGTCAAATGAGGCTTCGCGACTAGAATGACAGCAGTGACGGACTACAAGTCAAGGATGTCACAAGATGCAGAATTACCATCATCTGTAAGCAATCATTACAATCATCTAAAGGACGAGCATTATCTTTAACTTGAAGTAAAAGGTAGGTCTATTAAAAGGCAACGGAAAAATTGTGGTTGGCCTTTTTTAATTAACTGCAATAGATATGGATGCTCTTAAAATTCTATCAGGGTCGGGTATAATGCTGAAAAAATACAGTATTTTATTAACTATCAAGGTCATTCTAAGGTCATTCTAAGGTCGTACTATCAATAGCCACTTCATGTACACAAAGTTGACATCAAAGTTGGTGGCCAAACCCTGGGGTTGTATCCTTGTTGTAAACCCTGGGGTTGTATCCTTGTTGTAAACTCTGAGGTTGTATCAGTGTTGTAAACCCTGAGGTTGTATCCTTGTAAACCCTGAGGTTGTATCCTTGTAAACCCTGAGGTTGTATCCTTGTTGTAAACCCTGAGGTTGTATTGTTGTAAACCCTGAGGTTGTATCAGTGTTGTAAACCCTGAGGTTGTATCAGTGTTGTAAACCCTGAGGTTGTATCAGTGTTGTAAACCTTGAGGTTGTATCAGTGTTGTAATGCTTATTTACAAGTAGTCAAGTAAATGTTTTTTTTTATTTATCAATGAACGCACATTGTACAACTTACTAGAGCTGTCACGATACACTTTACCCACGATTCAATACATATCTTGATATTTGTACCACGATTCGATTATTTTGATTCGATACACCTTTATTTCTAAATATAAACAAAATGAGATGTATAAGCCGTCGATACACAGTGACCTGCAGTGTTTCCACACTTTTGATTTGAATCTTGCCGGAGCATCACAAATTTTCATTTCCTTACAGCGGTCTGCCATTTTGTTATGAATGCTTTGTGAAAATTGCATCCTCGCAGCAGATTGGTTGAGGGTTTAGAGATAAGCCAATGAAATTGAACGTCTCACAGAGGTTTCGGCTAAAGCGGCATACACTAATATTCAGGTCGTGTCATATCGAAAATCCGGAAAAATATATCGTGAATCTAATCCAATATAAATTATCGCAGTACAAGTGCATCGTGGTGAATCGTGACGCCTCTATAACTTACCTGTGAACTGTACTTTGCCATACAAATCTTGAATCTGGGGAGCAATTCCAAGCTTGAAGCAGTACAAACTGAAAATAATCAAAATTGAAATCAGAAATCAATCTTTAGGGTACAGTTCCCTCCAACAGGTAACAATGAGATTGAGCCAAGTGAACCATCCCTTCCATGACAACCCCCCCACCCCCACCCCTCTCATCACTGCTAGGTAACCATGGGTTTGACCCCAGTAACCTTTTTTTCTTCCACATCACCCCTAGGTACTCATGGGTTTGACCCCAGTAACCTTTTTTTCTTCCACATCACCCCTAGGTACTGATGGGTTTGACCCCAGTAACCTTTTTCTTCCACATCACCCCTAGGTACTCATGGGTTTGACCCCAGTAACTTTTTTTCTTTCACACTACCCCTAGGTAATCATGGGTTTGACCCCAGTAACCTTTTTTCTTCCACATCATCCCTAGGTAATTATGGGCTTGACCCCAGTGACCTTTTTTCTTCCACATCACCCCTAGGTAACCATGGGTTTGACCCCAGTAACCTTTTTTCTTCCACATCACCCCTCAGTTACCATGGGTTTGACCCCAGTAACCTTTTTTCTTCCACATCACCCCTAGGTAATCATGGGTTTGACCTCAGTATAGCATTTCCCCTTCACCACCTTTCGGTTACCATGGTATCAACCCCAGAGGACCAATCTCTTCCTCACAGCCTTAGGTAACCACAGGAGTTTCCATTGAGTACCATTTTCTCCTTCACAACCCTAAGTAACCCTGGCATTGACCCCAGGTGCCATTTTCCCCACCATAACCCATTGTTATGTAAACCAGATATTTGACCCCAGGGTATTGCTCTCTCCTTTAACAGCTCCGGACAACCACTATACTCAGTCGTGAGAGTAACCCCACAAACCTTGGCAGTATGCTTGCCCGTGCCAAACGTCTTTATTGTTAAATCAATACTCGACTTCCTGATAAGACTTGTGTGGTAACTGTCGGTTACGTGATGTTGAAACAGCTAGCAGGAGAGTAAGTTGGGCCATATTGGCATGTATACTATCCCTTAGGTCAGCTTTTATGAACAATTC